ACTGCCAAATTATTAACATTTTTTTACCTCTGGTGACATTAAAAATTGTTGCAAATGATTGCTAGTGTCCCACTAAGTAGAATTTAAAATATGTTTTTGGTGCATTTAATTACCAAGATATGTATGGTTAGGTGACCCACCCCATTCAAAGGCGGTCATTTGGATTTTTTCGCCAAAAATGACACTGTCACGGGAGGATATATTGGGATTTTTTTTTTAAATTTGGCTTCATTGGGCCTTCAACAGACGGGAATCAGTCAAGATACCTTTGTCACCATTTTTCCATTATCACATTGCTGCTGCGTCTTAAATAACATAATTATGAAACTATAAGCAAGTTACACAAATTTATTCCGTTCTACAAAAAAAATTGTCATAGGCCCGCATCATATCTAGTCCCATGCAAAAAAGCCCAGACCCCAAGTTTATTACAGCCCTGGCTGGGCCCATTCTTTATGGTGTCTTTGCATGTTAACAGCATAATGGGCAAGTTAAATGACCAAGTTAATTGGCCAAGCTGCCGGTTTGTTTGTATGGCATGATCCGGAACTTTGATATATATATATATATATATATATATAAGTTTAGTTCCAGAAAAAGCAGTTTTAGGTAGGCCATCGTGTATATAGGTTTTAAATGATCATTTATAATTGAAAAAATAACTTTATTTTAACACTTAATGAATGTTATGCACATGCAATGATTATTGAGGCACAGAAATATACAACAAAAAATATACAAAAAATTGGTCTGCCTAAGTTTCTGTATTAGGCAAACAAGCATTACGCAGACCAGAAATATACATAAATGTATATGCATATTTTACCAGCAGTAAGTAGACCGCATGTACTTGAATAAATATATCAAAGTCCAGCATTATGCAGACTATATTAAAGTATACATTTGTTTGCTATTAATGTTGCCACTCACAGCAACCAACAGTTTAGCAAACTAATTATTTTTTTCATGCAATCTTGCTATTCTGTGTAATTTGGGAGACGATACNTCCAGAACTTTTATATATATATATATATATATATATATATATATATATATATATATATATATATATATATATATATATATATATAAATTTAGTTCCAGAAAAAGCAGTTTTAGGTAGGCCATCGTGTATATAGGTTTTAAATGATCATTTATAATTGAAAAAATAACTTTATTTTAACACTTAATGAATGTTATGCACATGCAATGATTATTGAGGCACAGAAATAAACAACAAAAAATATACAAAAAAATTGGTCTGCCTAAGTTTCTGTATTAGGCAAACAAACATTACGCAGACCAGAAATATACATAAATGTATATGCATATTTTACCAGCAGTAAGTAGATCGCATGTACTTGAATAAATATATCAAAGTCCAGCATTATGCAGACTATATTAAAGTATACATTTGTTTGCTATTAATGTTGCCACTCACAGCAACCAACAGTTTAGCAAACTAATTATTTTTTTCATGCAATCTTGCTATTCTGTGTAATTTGGGAGACGATACATGTATTTATTGTCGTTTAACGGGTCAACGATGACGTGTCTTAGGAGAAAGGTTATTAGGAGGTACAGGGGACNGTTTAGTTCCAGAAAAAGCAGTTTTAGGTAGGCCATCGTGTATATAGGTTTTAAATGATCATTTATAATTGAAAAAATAACTTTATTTTAACACTTAATGAATGTTATGCACATGCAATGATTATTGAGGCACAGAAATATACAACAAAAAATATACAAAAAATTGGTCTGCCTAAGTTTCTGTATTAGGCAAACAAGCATTACGCAGACCAGAAATATACATAAATGTATATGCATATTTTACCAGCAGTAAGTAGACCGCATGTACTTGAATAAATATATCAAAGTCCAGCATTATGCAGACTATATTAAAGTATACATTTGTTTGCTATTAATGTTGCCACTCACAGCAACCAACAGTTTAGCAAACTAATTATTTTTTTCATGCAATCTTGCTATTCTGTGTAATTTGGGAGACGATACGTTGTATACATTTGTGCTTTTATAATTAATGGGATTGTTTTTAAAAAGCAATGTCTTCACAGCCAAAAAGCCAGGATAATTTTAGCAAATTAACATTAAGTTTTGAGCACAAACCACAATTTATTTGGCATACATGTAACTAAACAGCAATAAGCAGACCATTTACACTATATATATATATATATATATATATATATATATATATATATATATATATATATATATAAAACCAGCATTAGGCAGACTTTATATCAAACTACATTTTTACTTATTTTTGTACTATGTTTGCACACAGAGTGTTTATGTTTGCACTCAGAACAATCAACACTTTGGCACATTTTAATTATTCATGTTATCTATTTTTTGTCATTTGTGGGACAGTATGTTGTATATTTTTACTTTTACAATTTATGAGTATAATTTATGAGTGCTGTAACATACCATTGCTTTTCAACCAAAGAGCAAGAATAATTTCAGCAAAATAAAATTTTGACCTAATCCCACACTTTATTTTAATGTTACCCGTTATTGGATTTTTTTGTGTGACATGAAAAACAACTAATATAAACGATATGTAAGGTCTAAACATATTTATTGAGGTCACATCATTGAACAGTCTGGATGAATACATGCACCAATCTACATAAGCATAGAAAAAAAAACACAGACAATGGACACAATTTAAGTGTAACTTGTCTGCCACCAAGCACATTACATCATTGAACAATCTTCAAGAAATGGAACTTCACTGTTATTTCAAACAGTTAAATGTGTGAAATATTACTTCCAATATTTTGGAGAGCAATCTTTGTGAAAAACTTAGTCAACTGTAAAATGAACTTGAAATGGAACACATTGTTTCTCCAAGCAACAGTTAAGTATGTGAAATATTATCTCCAATATTTTGGAGAACAATCTTTGAGAAGAATTTCANNAAAAAAAAAAAAAAAAAAAAAAAAAAAAAAAAAACAGACTCTTATATCTAAGAGGTACTATGCATGAAAATGACAATATCGAGTCAATAAAATATGCTTACTTGGAAGCCTCCCTTTGTTATCTGCAGCCTCTAGGTGAGTACTTAAATATGGCAAAAATGGTTTCTGAACATATTTGTGTCTTCGGCAGACCAGGCCAATGAAAGAATAAAAGCACATATATATATATATATAACATATTTGAATCCTCTATTTCAAAGTGATGGATACAATTTCCTTCTCCGATGACATTAGTTTTGCCTATAGGACTTTAGAATATATTTGGATATATTATTAAAAATTGTACTGGCAACGAAATGAATAAACAACAATTATATAAAGGAGGTTCAGGGATCGAACACGAAACACAAAGACAGCCTATACTCTACTTACATTAGCCATAAGCGCCTGACTCTGTTCCACTCGTCCATGAGGTCGCTGTGCCAACCACCGAGAAATTCATCGGCTTAATAGTTTAAGCTTATTTTTTTCAAATATAAACACGGATAAAATATATCTAATGTAATATATCTAAATACATTACATTTTCATTTATTATCAGTCTTCAGGACTCTCCTTTTCGCCATAGCCGGCATTACCTCTATTTTATACTACGATATTTTCACAGAAGTCGATCATTAACACGCAGTCAATCTCCTCACATTCTCTAATTATAAAGATACGATGAAAACGTGGACTCACCAACTGTTTTCCTCTCAGAAGTGACATCTTGTGCGGCACTCACGTACCGGTAGCCATGCCATCAAATGCATTGCGCGCCAGAGACCTATATCAAGGTCATTGCTGACTTTCTCTCTCAGAAGGAGAAAAAGGTGGCATGTCAAATATCGGTCTTGTAAAAAATTCGCGTTGTAAGAAACTGATTGTGCGAATGGATAGCTATGTGGCTAAGTAACACAGAAGCCAAGAGATAATTTCGATATATAGCGTATCTTGAAAACTATCGTCGATTTTCCAACGGTCTGCCGTAGCGTGTCTCATAAGTTTTTGGTATACATCGTAAATATACACGGTTGCAAAAACGCATTTGATTTATTTTAAAATGGGCTTCGCAAACAATATATAATCGATGTAAACAATGACATCGGTGTACCCTTAAGTGACTGACAGCAGATTACTTTTTAAATCTGCTTTTATCTACATTTTTGTAGGGGGGAAATGTTAGGCAGACCGGCTGCGGTCTGCCTAAAATTCCGGTCTGCGTAATGCTGGCGTTTAAGTGCGAATGGTCTACCTATTGCTGGAAGCAGGACTACATATATATATATATATATGAATATGAATGTGTGTGTGTGTGTGTGTGTGTGTGTGTGATCAGGATGAAGGCGGATCGCTGTCCTGAAAAAAAATAATCTGAGACAATTTATATGTAATCAGGATAAATGCTGATCGTCATCTGAATTTTTTTTGAATTAATTATCATACTAGTTTTATTGATTTTAATAGACATTTACTATTTAGATCAGATACCAGAGCATATAGCACTCAAGATTTGTGACTATTATGAATTTATACAATATGAAAACTGAGAATTCATTAAGATTCAGAATATTCAAGGATAATGATGTTTTTGAAAGACTTTTTTTTAGTTTATGTGCTGTAGCAAAATTAAGAATAATGATAAGGTTGGGAGAAATGTTATATCCAATACATGGCTGTCGATTGGTCGCGTCTTTTATGTAACCTGGCTTTTTGATTGTTTTCTTTGGTCTAGTGTACATTGGTTCTTCAATCATGCTTCTTTCATACTTGTCCATTACCACATCATCCACTAGGTGGTAGCCCCGGTCAAGACGTAACAAATCGGCCGCCATGGAATGGTTATAACATTGTATCGTTTGACATCTTATGCATTACACATTGAACTCTTACACTTAGTTTGCTTGACAAAATCAATAATTTCTGTAACTGTTTAATATCCAAGTATTGCTTATAATATTGTCCCTGCAAAAGTGGAATAAAAATATAGAATTATACTTTCACAGACTCTTCAGTTGACGGCGGATTATGCCCGTACAGCGATTGGAGCGATTGCTCAGTGACGTGTGAAAACGGCACACAGACACGCTCTAGGGAGTGCAAGTGTCCTGAACCCGCCTACGGTGGCGCCATCTGTGGAGGTGGGAAAACCGAGACCCAGTCATGTAATGGCCCCTGTTGCCCAGGTAAAGATATGCCTCTCTCTCTCTCTGTTTTTTTTTTTTTTTTTTTTTTTTTTTTTTTTTTTTTTTTTTTTTTTTC